TTGCTCAATCATGTCCGACTCTTTGTGACCCCATGGACTTTAGCCCGCCAGGCTCCCCTGTCCTTGGAATTCTCCAGGCAAGCGTGTTGGAGTGGATTGCCATTCCATTCTCCAGAGGATAGTGGCCCTTTGGCTATTGTAGGAGGAAATCTCTTCCTTCCATGCTCCTGCGTTCTGTGGCTGGGGCACTGGAAGCTAGACTGAGGGAAGGCGGCCGAACAAGAGGGAACCAGGGTTCACTGCCAAGTGCAGCCGGGCACACGGAGCGCTCAGAAGGATGGGCGCTCAGAAGGATGGGCAGGGCTTGGGCTCACGGAGTATCTTGACAAAGGACAACATGTCTGCCGAAAGGGGGAGAAGAGTTGGGGCTTTTAGGCGCCGCAGGCTTGGGAAGTAAATACATGGTGTGTTGGGGGGGCGGGGGGCGACTAAGGGAAGGTGAGGGTGGTTTCTGTGAGGTTTTTTGAAGTTTTTATTTTATATTGGAGCGTACTTGACTTACAGTGCTGTGTTAGTGTACCACAAAGTGATTCAGTTACCTTTACACGTATACCTGTTCTCTTTCAAATTCTTTCCTGTTGAGGTTATTCCAGAATGGCGAGTAAAGTCCCCTGTGGTGTATAGCAGGCGCTTGTTGGTTTACTGTTTTATACACAGTAATGTGTCCACATGTCAGTCCCAGACTCCTAATCTGTCAGTGAGGTTGTTTGCAGACACATCTCGGCGCCGACTTTGATTTCACGGCCTCGGGGCTTGCCCGGAGAGGGGGTTTATGACCCTCTCCACTCCTCCGGAGTTTCTGCTTTTCGGCAGGTGGAGGGGCTCTGAGGAGGCTGCTTTCTGCATCTGCTGATCCTCCTTCGCCTCCAGATGAAGATCGCCCCTGTGCCAAAGTGGCCTTTCTAGGGGCTGGCAGACTCCTATCCCCTTCCAATATCTCCTAAAATTTAAGTCTTTATAATATTGCTTATGTTATTTTTGATATGAGGAGATTTTAAATAAGCAAAATGAATAATAACTCAGGAGTAACAGACCCACTTATAAAATCCATCATCTTTTCCTTGGGTAATTTTCCCTCTTTTAGTTTTTATCCATAGGGAGCCCCTCTTTACCTCGAAATTGGATAAGTAATCTGTTTCCATCCGTCTTTTTTTTATGTTCTTGCTTGCATTTCACTTTATCAGAGTTTTCATTATTGCTGAAAATAAGATTCTTTTCCTCCCGTCCCATTTATTTCCCATCTTCTTTAGAAATTTCATTAGTTTCCTCGATGAATATTTCTCTCCTCTGGCAAGTCAAGCAATTAGATTTATTCCTTAGAAAGTAATATCAGTTTTCTTTCTTTCAGCTTACCCTTGAAACGTATAGGCAGGTTAAACAGTCTACCAGATGTTTTGTAACTGCTGCCTTAAAAGAAAAAACCATGGGCAGCTAAGACGGAGATCACATTCTGGGGTCAGCTCCCTAACTGAGGACCCTCCCTGGTCCTGGAACAGCGAAGACAGCAAATGTCAGACTGGAAAACGGGGCCGTGACGTCTCCACGTCCACGGCCTCGGCAGGCTCGCTGGCGGAGTGACGCAGGGCTAAGCTAGAGGACTGTTCCCGCCCCGTTGAGGCAGGGAGTGGGTTGGAGGGGTTAATGCGTGGAGACCCCGTGTGAGTTCAGGGGTGGGGAGCCCGGGGAGACGGGTCGTGGAACCAGCACTCAATCCCCGGGCAGCTGAGGGCGGGCTCGCACATTCCCGCACCTCACTCTCTTACTAATTCAGTCACCCCGGAAGTCAGCCTCAGGTTACCGCGGAAGGTTATTTCGAGGGGCAGATGACCGGCGGCGCCCCGGCCACGTGGGAAAGCTTAGCAGTCGGGCAGTCCGGAGGTGGCGTTTCCCAGCCCGCCCCGCAGGCGCGCGCAGCAGAGGGGTGGCGCGCGAACCCCTGCAGGTTCCCACGAAACAGGCTCTCTGCAGAGCGGGCGGGGCGGAGCGGGTGCTGGCGCGCTGGGGGCAGGGAGCGCCCCTGGGCGTTGGAGATTGATTGGTGATTGGTGTGGGGGCGTGAGAAGAGGGAGGTGATAGCGGGTGACCTCAAGGGACGAAACCCATGCCCCTGAGTCCTGGTTTTGCACAGTTTAGACTTTCTGAACGTGCCTTTGCTTGGTGAAATGACTGATTGCTGTACCCTATTTTTTCTCATAATTTTGTCTGTGTTTATTTGTTTTTGGCCGTGTTGGGTCTGCACCTGCTGCATAGAGACTCTCTCTAGTGGGGTGAGCAGTGGTCTGTGGTTGCACGGGCCCCAGGACCCGTGGGGCTTCGGTAGTTGGGGCTCATGGCTCACCACTGTGGTTCCCGGACTCTAGAGCCCCAGCTCAGTAATTACGGCTCATGGGCTTAGTGGCACGTGGAGTCTTCCCAGACCAGGGATCGAACCGTGTCTGCCACATTGGCAGGGGAAGTCTTTATCGCTGAGCCACCAGGGGAGCCCAGCCATGTCTTATTCGGAATGGGGCAAGTTTTGGAAACTCAAGTGATCTCAAGACTTCCTTAGACTCCTGAAATCCTTCCCGAGATTGTAGCCACTCTGAGCATACTTCATTCTCATCAGATGTGGAGGTCAGACAAGAGATCCCGGCCCCACCCGCCTGGTTTACAGAATGTGCCTCCAGGGGGGACTCCAGGCTTTGGGGGTATCCAGCAGACCCCAGGCGGGGGATCTTTATCTTGAGGAGCTTGCGGGGGTCTGGGCGGTTTTCTTGTTGACTCAGAGATGCTGTCTGCCCTGGCACCTGGATGAGGGGGTCAGGGCGCCAGGTGGCTGCCTTGTCCTGGATCCCACCCCCGGGGTGCGGGCCGTGGCGTCAGCAGGCCGTGCTGACCGGCTGCCTCTCCCTCTTGGCCTCGGAAGAGGGCCTGTCTCCTCCCTGGGTCAGTTTTCTGCTCCCGCCTTGCTAATTGACGGAGGTTGCCCTGGACATCTCTGTAGGTAGCAGCCGGATTGGGCGGTGGCTGCCCAGGGCCGGGTCGGGTTGTGGTTCGGAGGCTCGAACGCACACAGTGGTGGCAGCCCCCCGCCCCCCCTTCCCGAATGCTTCTGTCCTCTGTTGCCTCCTGGCCAGCTCCCACAAGCAGCGTGTGCTGCGGGCATCACTGGACCTCAGATCAGCTCCCAGTGGGACGTCTGGGTGGAGACCGAGGGCAGAGCGGGCACCTGGTGCCCCAGCCTCGCCCTCCCCCAGCAGCACCTGGGACAGGGCGTGCCCTTCCCCTGACAAGCGTGTGCCTGGCGGAGGTGCGGGGAGCTGCCACGGCACTGGGCTGCGACGATCACAGGGGCTGCCAGCCTCTCCTCGGCCCGCGGGGCCAGCTGGGCGGGGAGATGCAGCTCGTTCCCCGTGGATCGGTTACCTTGTGGGCCACGAGGAGAGAAGGGAAAACAGCAGGAGCAGCCTCAGAAGGCAGACAGCGGGGCGGGGGGTACAGACTCGACACAGGCCGGCGCGTCCCGGGCTGTGACTCACAGGAGGGCAGAGAGGAGAGAAGACCAACAGCCTCCAGTCGAAACCAGGAGGGCAAAGAGTCGACGCTGCCCTGCTCCTGATGCTGTGACTCAGCAGCGCTTCAGGCTGCGTGTCCCAGGTTAGACGAGCAGGGTGCGCCGTGGAAGGTGTTTGTTGTTACAAATACGTTTGCTCCTAGAAACCAGGTACACGTGAGTTTGGTTTTCCAGGCTGGCCTCCAGAAGCCCCCTTAGCTGCCCCTCCAGGCCCGCCCGGTGTGTTCCCTGGAGACTCTGACCACCCCCTGCATTTGGGGGGGGTGTTGTTTGAGCCACAGCCTGGGAAGCTCATTCACCTAATTCGAATGGGCAGGGTTGTGGCCGCCCCCGGGCAGGCTCGCGGTCACCTGGATGGCTTGTTAAACCACCTTGCCGCACTTCCTCCAAAACCTCCCATGGGGTCTGGCCTGGGCCCAAGAATGAGCATTTCTGATGCCTTCCCGGGTGACGCTGCTGCTGGGTGTCCCTGAGCAGACATGGGAGGACAGCAACCCGGTAAAGAGCCCTTGAATCCGAGTCATTAATGATCAACTTGTGAGGCCAGCGGTGCCCGGCCCTGGGTGTGTCCAGGGGATGGCGTCACAGGCGGCTGGTGCCTCCTCCGCAGAGTCCGGTGCAGAGGCGCGGCTCTCCCCGAAGCCCGTTGATGCGGAGACCCCAGTTGTTTGCCCCCTCGGACCCAGACATCAGCTGCCCTCGGACTGAGGGCTAGTCCTCACCTGTACTCCTTGTGGACACACGTCACTCAGAGGGAACGGACGTGCGTTTTTCTCCCACTTCTGCCAAAGCAGGAGGGAAAGATTGGAGGGCTGTTTTCTATTTTTTTTTAAATGATAAAGCTTATATGTAAAACTAGTCTAAAAGTTGTGTGCACCAACTGATTGTCTTTCTCTCCAAGTAGAGTAGGTGGCTGTAGCCTGGAACATGGGAAAACATGTGTGGCATTGACAGGGAAAATGGAAGACTGCTTCAAGTGGCTATTTCAGCATTGACCGCTAACCGTCTTAACTATTAGGATGACTTGTGAAGTTTGGGGGGTTTCCGGGCTGGAAACGCAGAGCTCCCACTGTTGTGACCCGCTGTGCAGAAGCCGGCAGGGGCTTCCCACCGCGGGGCATGTGCTGGCCGTCGGTGCCGGGGACACCTGGCCCTGCTTCCCCGCCCGGATGGAGGGAGTACCCCCCCCCCAGAGGTCACGAGGGCACCAGACCCTGCAGACTTCTGTCCTCTGCCCCAGACGAAAGCATCACACCGCCTTCTGTGGCCAGGTGATATTTCCCATTGTTGGATTCTCCAAACCCTGGAGAAATCCCCAGTGGTGCGTGTGACGCGGCCTGTGAAGGGTGTCACGACCCCCGCCCACAGAGATGCGTGCTCTGTGATTGATGACGCTGGCCTCTGTGTGCCTTTCTCTCTGACCTGTTTTCTATTTGCCCCTCTCTAGTGGGATCTTGTGTGTGATAATGCCTGGAAGGTCCATGTCGCTAAGTTCTCCTTACTGGTTGGATTAATCTTTGGCTACCTGATAACTGGATGCATTGCTGACTGGTAAGTACCCACATGCCTGCCACACTACAACCCCCCGGAGCCTCCCGGGGCATGGTCGGCCTGAGCTCGCCGTGACCAAGGCTCCCCCCGCCAGCCCTGGCACTGGGGCCAGAGATGACGGGGGCAGCCGCCCCCTGCAGAGTTCAGACAGAGAGAGCTGGCCAGTGCCCAGAGCAGACCCTTTTGAAGTAAGGATTTAAATTCATTACAATTCCCTGGCTGCTAGAATCTAGCTAAACCAGCTTGGAGCCAGCCGCCCATCTCCTGAGAGAGCGAGGTTAGAAAGAGCCTGGGAACGTGGCTTCAAGGCTTTAAGGGCTGGGCCCTGGGTAGGCATAGACAGACCAGGGGCCTCTAAAGACAGGGAGAGGACAGCCAGACTCGTCACACTCGAGAACTGGACAGACGCAGGCAGATCTCAGAGAGGGACCGTCCCTGTAAGTTGGCTTGGCCAGGAGATGCTTCTGCAGGTCCACGGGGAGCTGGGCTTTGAAAAGTGGGCGGCCTGTGGGTGGCGGCTGGGCAGGGCAGGCAGAGGGGTGGGGACCGGAGACAAAATAAATGTGCTTTCCTTGGGCGGGTGAGGGGCCAGGTGAGGGTTCCAGAGTGAGCGAGAGGGTGGTGGGATGGAGACTCGGGTCGCCGTGGCAGGAGTGACGGTGTTAGCAGCCCGCCCTCACCGATGCCTGTGTGGCCGGACTCTGTGCTGAGTGTCTCTGTGGATTAAAATAGCCCCTCCGCACAGTTCCCCTGTTTCCCAGGGGAAAACTGGCATCACCCCTATCTCCTGGGGAAAACCAGAGGCACATGCATTTAAGTAAAATCCCCAGATGCCCTTGGGTTGGAGAGCCGGCGTTTGAAACTAAGCTTCTCGCAGGCCCAGAGCCGGACGCCACAGACGTGGACTGAGTCACGGGGCTTGTGTCGGCAGTGGGGACTTGCCCGAATAGCATGGCCGTGGCCCAGCGCTGCTGGGGCTTGCGGGGAACAGGGCTGCCGAAGAGGAGAGGTGCGGGGACCCCTCCCCACTTGATGTTCTTTCTCTTTAAGGGACTTTATTTACGAATCAGGGCCTTTTGCATCCCAGACTTAATAAAGCCGGCAATGATGCAGAGCAGGCTCCTCGAGGCCAAGGTGTGCCCTCTGTCCTGGTCGGCTGAGACCACTGGCCGGCGCCGCGGGAAGTGCCCGCGGTGGGGAGCCCAGGGAGACCACTTTCAAGTTCTGGAAAGTTCTTCCCCGAAAGCTGACATCTAACTGGGTGTTCCCTGCCTTAACATGCAGTGCGATTGCCTGTGTGTTCAGAATTTGCTGAATCATCTGTAAGTGCTTCTTAAGGGCATCCTCCCGGGGCAGGAAGACAGATGCTGGGAGTGACCTGTAGAAACCCACAGACGCCCTCACGTGGGCTTTGGTGGTGGGTTTTTTTGGGAGAGGGGAGGGACCAGGATTGGAAAAGGATGAGGATTTCAGTTTTGTTTTTTTTTTCCCAAACCAAATACTTGAACTTTTAAAGGTTTTCAGAGTGAGCTATACTGACCTAAAAGACACTCCAATCCCAATGTTTTAACCACAAAGAATTTTGTTTCCCAGGAACCTACACTGAAATAGGTTGGGAAGATAAGAGTAATATAACCACCTCACTTCTTCCTAAAAACACGGACTTGACTAAGGTCTTAGCGTCCTGATTCAGTGATTTAATAGGGAACGTAAATGCAGACTTCACCCAAGAGATCTGCAGCGGTTTTAAGTTGTTTACAGGTGGTTTTGTGGTTTCTTAAGCCTTGCCCATCAGTGGTGTTCAGCCTCCCTGATCACACACTGGCCCCGGGGACCAAGGTGGGAGAGTTTGGGGTCTTCCTTGGCAAGCAGCCAGGGGCTGAGCTGAAGCCCCTTCTCCAAGGTCATGGGGGTGGGGGGAGTGGACCAGGGGTGCCCAGAAGGTCAGGGCAGGCGGCTTATGCTGCTGCTTTCTGAACATTCTGAGCGGGCCTCAGTTCCAGTTTGAAGGTTTGGTATTTTCCACCCTTGACTGATTTACTGTTAGCATTTTGCTCCCTGCTGAAGCCTTGCTTCAAACAAGATAAACACACAGAGAGGGAAGTCCGGGTTTCACAGCTGCTGGCACCATTTCACGGCCGTGTCGGGAAGCTGACCAGGTCGTAGGTTATGCCAAGACCCCAGTCAGTGTCTAGTGAAGCTTCAGCTGCATGGTTTTTTGTTTTTGTTTTTAAAGGTGACTGTTTTGCACACACGTTCAGTCTGGGCTGGACAGCATGTCCTGTCAGGCAACGTGTTAGTTTAGGTGGAGGATGGGGGCCAGCTCGGGCAGTGGCTGTGGCCAGATGACCTTGCTCCCTCTCTTGCTGGGTCTTTTGCTGGACTCTGCACGTTTCTCATCCTGCCGGTCCTGGGAGGCGGTGTATAGGCTGCACCACAGACCCCTTCCCTCTGGCTCTGGGCTGAGCTTGGTCAGTGGCAGGGAAGGAGTTTTTCCCAGCTTCTAGAGACTCTCCCGCGCTTTCCAGGTGGCTCAGTGGTGAAGAATCCGCCTGCCAGTGCAGGAGATGCAAGAGGCGCAGGTTCGACCCCTGGGTCAGGAAGATCCCCTGGAGGAGGGCATGCAACCCACTCCAGGATTCTTGCCTGGAGAATCCCATGGACAGAGGAGCCTGGTGGGCTGCAGTTCACGGGGTCGCAGAGTCGGACACGACTTAGCAACTAAACAACAGCAGAGGCCCACCTGTTCCTTGGCTCCGGCCCCACTTCTAGTCGAGCCCACCGTGGCTGGCCAGGTCCTTCTCCTGAGACCGTCTCCCTGGTTCCATGCAGCCAAGAGCCCTTCACTTTGACCCCATCTGCAGAGCCCCTTGTGCCGTGAGAGGCGGCGCAGCCTCTGGGGGTTAGGACAGGGACGCCCCCAAGGCTGATACTCTGCCCATCACAGGTCCTGGCTGCCCGATGATGCCTCTGCATCGCAGATTTGGGACTGTGAATTTACCGGTCATCTGGTGGGAGACCTCTGCTCTGGGGAGAGCCAGTGCCCACTTGAACCCCAGGGGCTTCTAAACACGTGCATGCATCTACACCCACTGGCCCTTCCCGAAGAGAGCCTGAGGCTCACGGGACCCAGCAGATCTTGCTTGGGACCTCCATCCCCAGGGAGCCTGGGTCGGGGCCAGGGCTCTGACTTTGAAGACCATGTTTGCCTCCCCATTCCTAATATGAATTTTCACTTAATGAATTTCAGCAGCCACTTGGGAGGGAAAGATTTAGAATTGTTTCTACAAGTTAAACAGAAATCCAGGATCTTCCCTAAGTGTCAGGACAGATCAGACTGTGTCCGGTGGGCGTCGGGGAGGCCAGACGTAGGAAGACCCGCGGCTGCTCGGTGCCCGGTCTGTCGTCCTATTAGTGATCTCGACACTCTGCGATGCAGGACAGACGGGGAAGCAGAGGGAAATAAAGAGGGATAAGTTAGACTCTGGTTTCCTTCATTTTAATAAGTCAGCTGAGCTGTGTTTAAGTTCATTTCTGTAGATGAGTTGGATTTGGACAGAACTTCCTATAGTCGTTCCTGGTAAGCCGTTCCTGTGACCCCAGCACAAGTGAAGGGAAGCAACGGTCAAAATCTCAACAAGAAAATCGACTTAGGTTGCATTGAGCTCACGGCTTCGGCCCCATTTCTCTAACCCGGAGTGACGGACGGGGATGCTCAGAGGCCTAAGGGATCCTGAATGAGATGCTGTCCTGGAGTTCCCGCCCCCAGAGTGTGTAGAAATAACACCTGTCTCCTGCACAGGCAAGGCCAGACGCTACCGCATATTGCTTTTTTTAAAAAACAGATTTATGGAGAGATGGTTTACACACCATGAAGCTCACGCATGTTAGGTGCACAGGCCAGTGAGTTTGGTGTATCTGCAGAGCTAGACATGCGGCCGCTGGCACACACTGCCTTTAGAATGTTCCCCTCTTCTGCCCACTCCCAACCCCTGCCGATCTCGCCCCGACCTTGGGCAACCCCAAACATCGTTTCTGTTCGCCCTGCTGGGTGTTTCCCTTCCAGGAGGATGTCCAGGCGTCGGGGGTTCCAGACCTGGACTTTGTTGCCTTGGCAGATGGAGTCCAGCCTCTCTCAGAGCTCTCCTAGTCCACACTGGCTGTGCCACGCTCATCCTCGTGTGTGGGGGGGTTGGTCCGGGAGGGGTGGCCAGTGAGGGCCGCCCCCCCGCCCCCCGCCACGCCTGGAAGCTCACCGCCTGCTGGTGCTCCTGGAGCTCGCTCGGGCCGCCCCAGTGACCGCCCGCCCAGGGTGCGCTGGCCTTTCCCTAATGGAGAGGACGGGCCCCTGGGGACCTCCCTTCCAGGTCCACGTGCATCCTTACAGCTCAGGCCACCCCCGCTCAGTCTGTGCTTCCTGCTGGTCACTCCTCATTGTAGAGCTGAAACCAGCTGGCCGCCGGCGCGGCCCCTGGCTCACCAGGCCTCGGGTGAGGTCAAGGCTGGGCTTGTTAACAACTCAGAGAAACAGCTGGAAGCCACACACCCTATGTCTGTGTTGACTCTGGAGCCAGTTCCAAAGGTCACAGCCTCCAAGCCATTTTATGCTGGGCATGCCAAGGTTGAGGTTTGGGGAGTTACTATTGGTTCTGTTGAATTACCCCCATAAACTCAGGAGTAGACTGGCCAACAGGAATTGGTTCCCGTCTCATGTCTGTCGCGCAGCGGCTGTTGACCTGTGTTCCCTTATCTACAGGGCGAGGGGTGGGTGTGTGTCCCCTGAGGGCCCCCTACCCCGGGCCTCCCCATGAGGGTCCAGGAGGGATGCCGGCTCCGTGGGGTCCCCACCCAGCAGCTGCTGGCCCCGGGGAGGCCCGCCCCGCCCCGCCCCGCCCGGCGATAACTAACCGCATCCCTGTCCGCGCGCAGGTTCGGCCGGCGGCCTGTGCTGCTGTTCTCCATCATCTTCATCCTCATCTTCGGGCTGACCGTGGCGCTGTCCGTGAACGTGACCATGTTCAGCACACTCAGGTTCTTCGAAGGGTTCTGCCTGGCGGGAGTGACCCTCACCCTGTACGCGCTGCGTAAGTAGGGGCCTTCGGGTGAGGGGAGGTGAGGGAGCATGTGGCCGCCACATGCACGGTGTGGGCAGGCGTCCGCGTGCTGCGACTCTGGAGCGCAGACGACGGCATCTTCCACAGCTAGGACCCTGCTCCCAGGCTATGTGTCTCACCCACCCTCCAGCCTGGACTCCAGCTCAGGCTCAGGGTGCATCAGAGCCTGTGGGGGGTTGCATCGCCGCCTGGAGAAGTGGGGCTTGGCCTGCCACAGGGGCCGGGGTCCTCCGTGTTGACTCACGTGCTCCTCCAAACCCAGGCGTCCCCGCGCTTGGCTCCAGGGAGCAAAGCAAGTGGCTCACGTTTGGTGTGGGCTCCGTGTTCTGGTGGATTTCTTAAAGAGTTTTCTTTCTTTGTGTTTTTCGCTAAGGCTATACAGAGTCCAAATGTCCGACATTCCTGTGTGGCCTGAGTGGTCTGGACTTGAACCCCAAGCCCTGGTGCTGGGAGATGTAAGTGGCGATCTTTTCAGGGTGAAGAGACTGTCCTCTGTTGATCCGCCGTGTAGGCGTCCGTGTGGACCCCCCTGCTAGGATGGCCGTCTTGCTTGTTTGGTGTTTTCTAGTGCGTGGCCACACACCCACAGGGAGAAGGAAGGTTTTAGGTGTGGATGTTTATTTATTTTACAGTTTTATATTTTTTAACCATGGTGTGGAAAGAACCATAAGGAATAATATAAGGTTATTCGTAACATATTTTCCTTTTCTTTCCCTTGGACAACATGTGTAGGATCAGAGATTAAGTAGCAATTTCTAGAGGGGTCGATAAGGATAGCTCTGATTATCTTCAGGGGCAGCTACCTTTGTTTAGCGTATGATCCCTTTAAACGACACTGTTAAGTAAACTGGATTTTGTTCCCTGCTGTAGAGGATAGAACTATGGTCCATTACAGCATGGGTTTACAGTCACGGAGAAGAAGACTGCAGATGTGGTCTCCTGAACCCACAGTCGGCTGTTCTGTTATCTTCTTCTGACGTTGACTTGAGTTGTGGTTTCATAGACATCACCGTTTTCAGGTTATTTGCATCTGTCCTGGCAGCCTCGCTCTGGGGGGTCCTTAGGACTGTGCCTGTCCCGGGTCAGCGCGTTGGTGTGACGACCCTGTGGAGGGCTTGTCTCTCTCAACAGAGGTCTCGGGGTGCGTCTGGAGCCGGAGCGCTTCCCTAGGAGCTGCCTGGGCCCTCCTCCCTCCCTGCCCCCGTGGTCTGCACAGAGGAGCGGCCCCCCTTTCTGGAAGAGACCCCGGCCCTCGTCTCGGGCCCGCAGGTGCCGGGTGTGTGCCAGCATGTGGGGTCTGCTCTCCAGGGCCCCATCCCCACGGGGCTCCAGTTCTCACGGGAGGGCGCCGTGCTGTGCCCCTTGGAGGGACCTGTTCTGGGGCAGCTCTGCAGGCTGGCAGAATGGGACAGTGGGCTTCGGACACTGAGCAGAGAAACAGCATCTGTCTCAGCACCCCGGTGCCTGTCAAACTCAGCACAAAGGACGTTGGCAGAAAAGAGCCTTAAAGCAAAGCTGGCGTATCGGCTTTATCTTGCGTGCCCACTGCTGCCGGAGACCGCGGGAGGCTCAGGGGAACCCTTGGGGCTCAGCGGGCGAGGGGCCCGACCCAGGAGCCCTGCCGCCTCTGATCAGGAGTGGGAGGACCGGCTCTGGCCATCTCTGCAGACTCCCCTGCCTTCACCAGACCTGGAGGAAAACTGCCCCCGACGGCACCCTGCCAGCCTCACTTGGAATCACCGTTGGCCCTATAAACCTGTGACTGTGAAACTGAAGCTAAGGATGTTTTTCAAGAGATTACACGTGAGCTCTTGACAGTGGAAAGTTCTCGTGTACTTCAGAGCCATGCCGGAAGTGTGCTTATCCCAGGAAAGCTTTGCTGTTACATAACAGGTGCAGAACCAAGTAACCCAGGTGTCTGCAGACTTTCTTCTCTACAGAGCCAGGTGGTAAATGTTTTATTCCATCACAGGCACTCAGCTCTGCCGTGATATCCTATCGTTGTTGTTCAGTCATTAAGTCGTTTCTGACTTTTTGCAACCCCATGGACTACAGCACACCAGGCTTCTCTGTCCTTCACCGTCTCCCAGAGCTTGCTCAAACTCATGTCCATTGAGTTGGTGATGCCATCCAATCATCTCGTCCTCTGTCACTGCCTGTCATCCTCCTGTCCTCAGTCTTTCCCAGCATCGGGGGCTTTTCCAATGAGTCGGCTCTTCACATCAGGTGGCCAAAGTATTGGAGCTTCAGCTTTAGCGTCAGTCCTTTCAGTGAATATTCAGGGTTGATTTCCTTTAGGATTGACAAATGGTTTCATCTCCTTGCAGTCCAAGGGACTCTCAAGAGTCTTCTCCAGCACCAAGCAGTAAATAAGATGTAAATGATTAGGCATGGCTATGTTCCAGTAAGACCTTATTTACAGAAACAGATGGTGGCTGCTTTGACCAGCAGGCCAGCATATTTTTGCCACCCATAAGTGCTCCTCTTTCCACTGACTGCTGGGGAGCTTGGAAAACCTCGAATCTCATCTAGCATGTGTGTGGGCTCGGCAAGCTGAGCTTTAAATGCTGGCCCCATTCCTAGTTTTATTTGAAATTTTCTGCTTTCATTTTTCCTTTGTCCCATTTTTATATTGCCATAAGTTCAGTGTTATATGACTGTATGGATTTGTGTGAGCAGTCTTAAGTTTTCTCTGAAATGACACAGGGCGTAAGTAAAGAGTTACATTTTCTTAGATTGGGATTACAAATCAGACGTCACGGCAGATACCACTGTGGTGAGAATTTCCAAGTGTCCACTAGTGGCCCACTAAGTTGATGTGATATGTGATATAGCAAAATTAACATAAAGCAGAAGAGTGTAATTGACTGTCTGGAGTTCACTGAGATAGTATTCGAACAGCGTGAATCAGGGGGTTGACTGAGAGACGGCAGGAGAACCAAGTTTGGGAAGAGAGGCTCAAAAAAGGAAAGAAAGTTCTAAATGGATAGCATTGGGGTGGGCGTGCTGTGTGCTGGGCGGGGGCAGCCCCTCCCCTGACGATCTTGGAGGAAACAGAGGCTGGGGGTGGGAATTGAGGATCCCAGCCCTCGGTCCACGGGGCTGGTGACACTGAACTTCCTAACCAGTGTGCTTGCTTCGTACACCAGTCGTACCTGGGCTGAGTGAATGCTTGGCAATTTGTTTTGCTTAAAGGAACTTCTTGCTAACCCTGGTCACAGGGTTAAAATATTTCTCGACCGAAGCTCTCACACCGGAGACGTTGATTATTTGGGATATAAGTGTTAAACGGCCCTGACATTTTATCCCTCCCACTGGCAGGCTTTTATCTCACTTCGTGCATCTGCTGGAAAGGTCTGAACTTTCTCAGAAGAGACAGGATGTGCTTCTCTTTTCCGTCTTGCAGGTGCCTGGCATTGCAAGTGGGGAGAGTCTTGGTTTTGGCAGGTCGCGTGGCTTGCGGAGCTCATTGTGAAGGTGGACTCTGTGTTTGAGACGTGTTGCTGATGTGGGAAACTGTGCTTTTATGTGCGGAGTTGCTTAAGGCTTTTTCGGCTTTGGAATTTTTCTATGGTACATTCCAGTTAAACACTCCTTCCTTTAAACTGTAGTTTCCTTAAATTCACCAAAGGGAGACGAGGTTACGTAATTAGGACATAAACCAGAGACCATTGGCATCTTCCCCAGGAGCCTGTACCTGGAAGCCTGTTGGCAGGAGCCAGAGACGGAGCGATGCTGAACTGCGATCGGTGGCTGCAGGCGGGGTCTGGCCGCCTCTGAGGCTACGCGAGACACTCAAGTAATTTAACCCACCTGGCCGCCCTGGTGGCCTCCTTGTATCTCTTAGCTGTGACAAAGAAGAGAAAAGAGAAAATCTTGACCTAGCCAGGCCAGGGGCAGGGAACCACAGACCAAGGAAAGAGGCGAGCATCCTGTTTCCTTATCTGTTCGTGAAAATAAAGACTTGCCAGAGATGAAAGTCTTGCCCATGTGCTTCTCAACAAGGGCAGCCACGACTTGTCGCGTGAATTCTTTCCCCAGGGATGGTTCACCTCACAGACAAGATGATGCCGCTTTTGCTGGGATGTGTCCTTGTCGAAAAGAAGCGCAGAGAGAAAGCATCTCTTGGAGTTGACTTGCTGTCCATGTGCTGAGTCCTGCGGGAGACGAATGGTTTTCTTACGTTCTCTGAATCGGTCCTCATTGAATCTCTGTCTCTCTCTCCCCACTTGGGGCAACCTCCCCCTCCCCAAGTGGAAGTGATGAAGCCTGCTTTTTGATGGCAGAGACCACACCTTAGTGACGGTGGGTTTTGTTTTTTGGCCTAACAGCAGTGAGCCGTTTCCTTGAAAACTTCTCTCAAAGGCTTGGCGGTCTCATTATAATAACCCTCCCCAAACCCAGACAGCTTAAATAATTGGACAAATTTTACGCATAATCAAAGAGTGACCAGAAACTTCACAGGTGACTGAGTTACTGATTACTTTGCAAAGTGAGAAGCCGAGTCTTAACTGGTAAATAATCTCGGGAGAGCCTTGAGTTTGCTCTGGGCGGGGTGATGTGGCTCACGAGATGATGGGTTTGGCCTCCGGCTGAGTCATTTCCACTGTGCTGGGAGATGTTCCTCCTTACTATTGTGTGTCTTTCTTTTTTGGTTCAAATCTGGGACTTCGCTGCTCCATGGTTCCTTATCTGTTTTTTTTTTAATACAGTTTCTTTCTTTTATTTATTTTTGACTGCGCTGGACCTTCATTGCTTTTGCGAAGCCTTGCTCTAGTTGGGGGGAGCGGGGACTGCTCTTGGTTGCAGCACAGACCCCTCCTCTCGGTGGCTTCTCAGCACGGAGCATGGGCTCCAGGCGCACGGACTCAGCAGTGTGGCTCACCGGCTTTAGTTGCTCTGTGCTGCTTGGAATCTTCCCAAACCAGGGGTAGAACTGGTGTCCGCTGTTTGGACTGGCAGAGATTGGCAGGCAGATTCTCATCCACCAGGGAAGTCCTCTGTGTATTTCTTTAATTTAATGTTTTTCTGAATACTCCTTTGGGTGTATTTCAGTTACCAGGATTGTTGAGCGTCAGAGCCGCCGTGCTTATAATAAGAAAACAATACACTGAACTGTACGTAGTTCCAGGTGGCAGGCTGTTGGGCTGTGCGGTCAGGTGTAGTGACTTCAGCTGGCTAGGGCGCTAACATGTGCATCGCATTTGGGTGAAGGGACAGTTTCTCGAGAACATGCTCTGGGCACCATGACCCATCGCCTGTCTTCACCCCACACCCCCATCTTCAGCCTCCCTGCCTTCTCAGCAGCCGCCCTGGGAGCCCCAGCCCTGCACTTCTGGTGGGACCGGACCTGCCAACAGGCTTTGTCAGCCAAGGCAGTGAGTCAGAGTTTACCCAAAGCCTTTAGCAAGCTTTTTTTTTTTTTTAATTTCAAAAGAGTTTTTGTCTGATTCAGGTTCCAAATGATACGGTTGGGAAATCAGAATGGACTTAGGTTCTCATCTGGCCTTCCCTTCTCTGGAGACGCTTTGCTAACCCGGCAGACAGACCGTGAGAAGTGAAGAGCACATATGGAAGAGGAAGGTGGCCAGGCCTCTGTGCCCGCACTGCCGCGTCACCTCCCCGGAGCCCCAGCGCCGGTGCCCCCTTGGGGTGCCAGGAGAGGGCGGGGCGCCCGGGCCCCTCCCCCGAGGGGCTGGTCTGAGACTGGAGGGGTGAGCCGTCCCGTGGGGAGCCGGGAAGCACCCCCGAGGACCGATTTTTCTCAAAGTGGTGCCAGTTCTTCAAATGAAAATGGTGACCCCTCTCTCCGCCTTCTTACCTATTAGCTGCGGTGCGGATTTAAATGGAGACTTCACTCCGAAGAAAGTGCAAACGTCTGTGTGTCTGTGGAGCACGCGAAGCTGCACCTGTGTGTCCACATCAAAGGTGGAAAGACGAGGGCAGAGGAGGGGTCTGCGCCTGGCGGGCTCACTGAGGCCCAGACGCCGTCTTCTGCCGGAGGTTAGGGCAGCGTGTGTGGGGGGGTGCTTCAGAGTGCCTATTTCTTTGGGTGTTTTGAACTTGGTGAGAAGATAGTCTGTCTCAAAACTGGCAGAAAAGAGTAGAAATATTTAGCTATCTAGCATTCTAAAATCACAGTCCCTGGATGTCTTTTCCAGCATGCATGCGTGC